CTCCAGGCTGACCCAGCCCAGCTCTCTCAGCCTGGCTCCAGAGCAGAGCTGCTCCAGCCCTCACAGCATCTCCATGGCCTCCTCTGGCCTCGCTCCAACAGCTCCACATCCCTCTTGTGCTGCTGCCCCAGAGCTGGACCAGGACTGCAGGAGATGCAATAGGTTATGGCAGAGCCAGCAGCCAAACCTCTCCAGACCTGCAAATACATTAATGGCAAGTCTCCACCTTACTTTGCTCGCTTCAGCTGCTCTCTGAGTTGCACCCATCAAGTGCCATGGCACAGAAGAGGATCGGGCCCATTTCTATGAGATCTGGGCAGAAGCTCAGACCTGATAACTGCAGAAAAACCCAATTAAATACTCCTTGGGAAACAGAAGTGTGGCTCTCCCCATCTGCAGTCGTAACAGGGAAAAAGTGCCAGCACGGAAGCCTGGCCAAATATTTTTGTGTGCAATTATAATCTGCCGTCCTAAATTTCCCTTCTCTTTTCAAGGGGATCACATATTCTTCTCTTCCTGTCCCAAACTGCTTTCCAGTGACAGACTGTACTTGTGTTGTGTATCTCCTACTCACTAGAGCTAATTACTTCTGGCTGGCAAGGCTCCTCGTGCTTTCCTGTCCTCTGCGGCTCTGAATCACAGCCGCCCTTTAGTACAGCGCTGATGGAGATCCCCCTTTAGTCACAGGCAGTAGCAGGAGGCTGTCCCCACGCTCTGCAGGACCTTGCACCCTGCTCTGCAGCTTTCTGGCCTCTCCAGAGAGTGGAGATTTATCTGAGCATCACCACCGGAATGCTGGCACTTTTGCAGGGATTTGCTGTACATCAGGAGCTCCACCTTGGGAGCAGCGAGATTCTCTCCTGTGACTGCACAGATTTCCAATGGGTTTCAATAAGACTGTAGAATTCCAGAGTGGTTTGGGTTGGAAGGGACCTTAAAGCTCATCCAGCTCCAACCCCTGTCACGGGCAGGGACCCCTTCCACTAGAGCAGCTTGCTCCAAGCCCCTGTGTCCAACCTGGCCTTGAACACTGCCAGGGATGGGGCAGCCACAGCTTCTCTGGGCACCCTGTGCCAGCGCCTCAGCACCCTCACAGGGAAGAGCTTCTGCCTTACATCCAACCTGAACTTCCCCTGTTTTAGATTGAATCCATTGCCCCTTACCCAAATAAAAGGCGATCAGCCTAAATTTACCATCTAAAAAGTTACCATATTAAAATCAGATGGTTTAGACCACTGAGGATCCTTCTCCTTTCTTCTGCAGTGCCACGTATTTCATCCTTCCTTTTTCCTCTAAGCCATTATAAACATGCTTGACCACGCCATACAACTCTATCATCAGCCATCTCTAAGTGACTTACCATGGCCTTAACTCATGGACAGCAGTGCTGGGCTGCTGCCCTTCCTGAACCCATCGATCTTAGCCACCCTGCTCTCTTATTTCCCCAGTGCTTCTTCTTTGGTCTCTTTGGTGCACACAAATCGATCAGCTTCTTCTCTTGCTCTCTGCTTTTTGCTGTTGGGCACTCAGTCATTGAATAGAGAAAGGCTTTGGCTGGATGTCAGTGATCAGTGCAGTAATACCAAATAAAGCCCAAGGCTCTGACATCTCACCCACTCTTTCTTCAGCCTCCTCCTCCCAGCTCTGTTCCTCCCCTCCAGTCAACAGCTACATACACATCTCTAATACCTCTAATACGTGCATCTCTGATACCTATTGGTATCTTGGGCTCATAAAGCATCTCAAAGCCATCACTAGCATGTTAATAACTATGCTATGGATGCAGAAAGCAAGACACAAGGAATTAAATTCCTCTCTCCTTTCATTTAAACCAGCAGCAGAGAAAGGCATGGAAAGGGCAGGACTTGCTCTCACCATTACAAACCCCTAAGCCCAGCACCAACCATAGGCAGAAATAACCCACCCCGGTTGCTTCTTAATTTACTGAATACATTTGGCATTGGATGCCCAAAGCTTTGTCCTGCCCACAGCAGGTCCGTTTATCCCAGGTATGGTCACTCCTCCTCACATTCCCCACAGGAAGGTATCTTCCCTTTCTTCCCTTTCTGCTTTCCAGAGCTCTCAGCCAGAGCTGTGCTCCCCTATTCCCTAGGGCTTTATACCAGGAGTGCCTGCATCCTGCACTGACCTTCAGACCAATGTCCTTTCTATTATCATCCCTGGAGGCTGTAAATACATCTCCGGAAAGCTGGCTGTTTTCTTGCAGGTATTTATAGCATTAACATCGCTCTTCTTCCTTCAGATTTCTGTCTGCTCTTGCCTGTGTCAAGAAACTAAACCCCTGGATACAGACCAAGGGAAAACCATGTCCTGTTTGCCAAAGCATGTTGGAGGGAGGGGTTAACACCGGGATCCATCAGATGCTGCCTCACTGCTTGGAGATACAGACATCCCCAAGGTTTTGGTGGTGCTTTTATCCTTCAGTAACTCCTGCAAAGCCCAACTCAGGGCAGATGTAACCTGCAAGCAGTTCCCTATGGGATGGGAACACTCCTGGGTGTCTCTTCTCAGGTCAGCTTCCCTAGGGAAAACCTGATCCGTCTTGGCCAGTTTCTCATGATAGATTTGCAAAGCCCTGCAGGCACCAGGGGACTGCACACACAACCCCACCTAACAATGCTGATCTTGTATCTCTCCCTCCAAGCATCCCCCTGCACCCTGTCACTGAAGCATCGCTCCTCCAGGGTTCCATCCACATCCTGACCACAGACCATCCCTCTCTCTGAGCATCCCTCCTGGAATCCTGAATCCTGAGCCTCTCTCCTGAACCCCTCCCTCCAAGCAACCCTCCCCTGAGCATCCTTCCTGCATCTCAGCCCTCTGAGAAGCCCTTACTCCAAACATCTCTCCTGCATACCTCCCTAAAAGCCTGTTTCTACATCCCAACCCCTGAGCATCTCTCTGAGTATCCCTCCCAAGCATCCCTTCCCCTGAGCATATGAGTTCCTGAGAACCCTGACTGCATCCTGACCCCCAGACACTCCTCACTGCAACTCCTTCCTGCATCCCAGTCCCTGAGCATCACTCCTGCATCCCAGCCACCGAGTATTCCGCCCTCTGAGCATTCCTCATGCACCCCTTCCCCTAAGCATCCCTCCAGCATCCCAACTCCAAGCATTCCAAACCCCAAGCATCCCTCCTGCATCTCTTCCGTTGAGCATCGCTCCCTTTCAGCATCCCTTCTGCACCCGAGAGCTCCCTTTTGCATCCCGATGCCGAAGCATCCCTCCTGAACCCCTTTCCCTGAGCACCCTTTATGCATCCTTCACTCCAAGTATCACTCCATCATCCAGATCCCTCAGCATCCTGACCCCTGTGTATCCCAACCCCAGAGTCTCCCTCCTGCATCTCTTCTTCAAGCATCCCTCCCTTTGAGCATCCCTCCTGCACCCCTTTCCTTAAGGCTTCTCTTCTGCATCTCTTCCCTTGAGTACCGCTCCTGTATCCCTCACCCTGATCGTCCTTCCTGCACCCCTTTTCCCAAATGTCCCTCCTGAGCACCCCTCTGGCATCCTGACCTCCAAACATTCCTCCAGCATTCTGACCCCCAAGCATCTCTCATGTGTCCCTTCCCCTGCACACCTTCCTGCATCCCTCCAGCATCTCTTCTCTCTAGCACCCCTCCTTTTGAGCACTCCTCCTGCACCCCTTTATCCAAGTACCCCTCCTTCATCCCTCATCCTGAGCATTGCTCCAATGTCCTGACCCTTGAGCATCCCCCTGAATCTCTATCCTCGAGTATCACTCTCATTGAGCACCCCTTCTGCACCCCTTTACCCAAATCTCTCTCCTACATGCCTCACCCTGAGCATCCCTTCAGCATCCCGAAACCCAAGTATCCCTCCTGTATCTCTTCCCTCGAGCATCCCTCCCTTTGAGAACCCCTTCCGAATCCCTTTCCCCCAGACTTCTGCATCCTGACCCTTGAGCATCACTCCCGCACCCCTTTACCCAAGTACCCCTCCTTCATCCCTCACCCTGACCATCCCTCCAACATCCTGACCCCCAAGCATCCCTCCTGCATCTCATACCTCGAGCACACCTCCCTTTGAGCACCCCTCCTGAATCCCTCACCCGAGCACCTCTCCTGCATCCCTTTACCCAACTATCCTGCATCCCTCACCCTGAGCATCCCTCCAGCATCCCGACCCCCGAGCATCCCTCCTGCATCTCCTCTCTCCCTTTCAGCATCCCTCCTGCACCCCTTTACACAAGTACCCCTCCATCCCTCACCCTGAGCATCTCTTCAGCATCCCGACCCCCGAAAATCCCTCCTGCACCGCATCCCTCGAGCACACCTCCCTTTGAGCACCCCTTCTGAATCCCTCACCCAAGCACCCCTCCTGCACCCCTTTACCCAACTATCCTGCATCCCTCACCCTGAGCATCCCTCCAGCATCCCGACCCCCAAGCATCCCTCCTGCATCTCCTCTCTCCCTTTCAGCATCCCTCCTGCACCCCTTTACCCAAGTACCCCTCCATCCCTCACCCTGACCATCCCTCCAACATCCCGACCCCCGAAAATCCCTCCTGCATCGCATCCCTCGAGCACACCTCCCTTTGAGCACCCCTCCTGAATCCCTCACCTGAGCACCTCTCCTGCACCCCTTTACCCAACTATCCTGCATCCCTCACCCTGAGCATCCCTCCAGCATCCCTCATCCTGAGCATCCCTCCTGCATCTCCTCTCTCCCTTTCAGCATCCCTCCTGGACCCCTTTACCCAAGTACCCCTCCATCCCTCACCCTGAGCATCCCTTCAGCATCCCGACCCCCCAGCATCCCTCCTGCATCTCATGCCTCCCTTTGAGCATCCCTCCCGCACCCCTTTCCCCGTTACTTCTGCATCCCTCACCCTGAGCATCCCTCCCGCACCCCTTTACCAAGTACCCTCCTTCACCCCTCACCCCGCGCACCCCTCCCAAGCCCCCTTTGCCCCCCGCCCATCCCCGCAGCCGCTTCCCTCCCGTTCCGCGTTACCTGCGGCCGGGGCCGGTCCCGTCTCCCTGCGCCGTGTCCGGCTGCGAGCCGCAGTCCCGCGGGAAGAGCCGGGGCAGGGCCGAACCCGCTGCGAACTACAAATCCCAGCACGGCCGGGCCGGGCCGCCCCCCGCTTCCTCCTCCTCCTTCTCCTCCTCCTCCTCCTCCTCCTCCTCCTCCCGCAGCGCCCGGCGAGCGGCGGGGCCGGCGGCTGCAGGGGCGAAGGTGGGTACGGGGAGGGAGGGAGGGATGGATGGAGGAAGGGAAGGGGAGGGGAGCGCTGGGAGCGACCCCCTCCCTCCCCGAGATGGGGAAACTTGTGCACAGGGGAGGGAGGATGAAGGATGGGGGGGACACACACGGACCGGCAGCGCTGCTGCTCCATGGAGGAACTCAGTGAGATGCGGGAAGAACGGGTGATGCCGCACACAGGGGGGATTTGAGGGGGGTAATTTAGAATTGTAAGCTGATTTAATGGTGTGAATGCCTGGCTGTGTAAGAAAAAGCCGATTTGTGGCTCAGGGTAGGGCTCAGCACCACTCTGCAAACTTTGCACATACCCCCCATTGCTTTCCGCAAAATAACTCCAAAATTAAAGGATTTACAGTGATTTAGCTAATCCAAGGCCTATATCCATACACAGGGATGCCTCTGCATCTATGATTCTATGTGCATAAGATAAATCCTATGGAGGGGTTAATTCTGGATGGCACCTACCTTGTTAGTGGTAGTTCCGAGTGGGTTTTGCCAGCATACAGCTGCATCCGTGCTGGCAATCGGCTGCCCTCTCATTGCAGGGGTGACCTGGAAGTGGAGGTGTCAGTGGGAAAAGGGGTGGAAGCTGGATGGAGGAGCACAGCCCTGTGTGCATCGAGCAGGACGCAGGTGCTGGTCTGCCACGTGTGCAGATGAAGTGGTCCAGCAAGGAAATATTGCATCTGGAAGATACTCTGAGGGTGCTGGACAGCCAGGCTTCCAGTGCCTGAAGGGGCTGCAGGAAAGCTGGAGAGGGGCTTGGGACAAGGGCCTGTAGGGACAGGCCAAGGGGAATGGCTTGAACCTGCCCGAGGGGAGACTGAGATGAGCTCTTAGGCAGAAGCTCTTCCCTATGAGGGTGCTGAGGCGCTGGCACAGGGTGCCCAGAGAAGCTGTGGCTGCCCCATCCCTGGCAGTGTTCAAGGCCAGGTTGGACACAGGGGCTTGGAGCAAGCTGCTCTCGTGGAAGGTGTCCCTGCTCGTGGCAGGGGTTGGAGCTGGATGAGCTTTAAGGTCCCTTCCAACCCAAACCACCCTGGGATTCTATGCTAGGAAATGAGGAATCAGTGAAAGCCATTGCCAGGGCTGGTATTAAATTGGTTTCTTGGACTGTACAAAGGGTTACATCAGCTGCTTGGAAGGAAAAGTGCTGCTCCTGCTGCCATGAGCTCCCAGCCAGGCTCCCTCCTGCAGTCTGCACTGCCTGCACAGCAGCCCCTGACCCAGGGGTGCTGGAGATCGCACCAGGAGTGCACTGAGCACCGCAGCACCTTGGCTTTTATCCTCCAAACCTCACTGCAGCCGCATCTCTCTGGCTGTGCCTTGCCTCTCCCCCTCCATCTTGTGTTCTGCTGTTCTCCGCCGGTAGCAGTTAACCTTCAGTTCATTCTCCTCCTCCTACGTACACCACTGCTTTCGTTCCTCTTCTCTCCCAAGGAACGTGACCTTTGGTTTATATCACTGCTTCCTTTTACTAACTAGGCACCAGCTTTTTCCTACCCTGTCTCCTTACCCCCTTCCCTTAATGCTTCCATCCTGCAAAGAGCCGGTTTCGCATCCTTTTGCATTCCCCTGCATCCTTATGCAAGCAGCCCAGCAGATGCTCAGGGGCATCAAGGTGCAGGTTTGGGGAGGGATGGACACATGGCATTGCACCCACAATAAAGCAGGGATGTCAGGAAACTCCTGCTCATGCTTTCCTATTGTTTGTGTGTTCCTGGCAGAGGAGAGTTTATGTGTGGAATGAAGCACTGTTAGAAGGCTATATCTATACCTATATAGAGAGAGATAGATATAAAGAACTGGCAGCTAAGAAGCTGCTTTCCAAGCTGGATACTCAGTGTGTGTGTTACTGGGTATCACAGCCGCTGGCAGATCGATCCCAGTCCTGCCTTACAGCCAGAAGGGAAGAATGAGCCATTGTTTCCTGCCTTGTGCCTGCTGGGAATTGGAGTCCCTTCCTGGAGCTTGTCACCGGTATCCCTTGTGCCAAGCCCAAACATGGCTGGAGTTTTCCAGAGGCACCACAGCGATCCTGAAACAAAAACCAGCAGCTTCCCCCCTTCCCAATGGTGTGTTTGGGGACATATTGCTCCTGGCAGGACATGCCACACTCTGCTTCACCCGCTGAATTATAAGCCTCTAAGTGCTGCAATAAGAGTTGACATTCAATGAGGGTCCAAAATTAGATGGGTCCGTCCTGTAGTGATGGGAAAACATAGGTTTTCCTCTCTAATATTGCTATAAATAAGCATGTAGAGTGTAGAAACCATGTTATAAATGTTTAATTTACATCTGAGGATGAGCTGAGCTAAGTAAATGTGCATCAGAGATGCAAAGGGAGGGTAAGCCTGTCCTTGCAATGGATTATGTCCCAAATCCTACCTTAAACTCAGTTCTCACTGGATGCCACTGGCTGCTGCTGGCTGATAAGCAGCTAACTGGGTTTTTAATCTTTTTTATCCCCTAAATACTGTTTCCTTAGTTTCTGCCCTCCTTTTATTGTTCTTTTAGTGGTATTTTCCTTCTTTTAGTAGTATTTTCCTCCTGTCTCTTATGGCGTGATGTCTACGCTTCACACTACAGGCCCCATAACACAGTGGGGCACTAAGGCATAGCTGAGGGTCTGGATTTCCTCTGTGAAATCATTCCCTGGATAAGGAATAAGGCACAGAACTGGTGTCTAGGGAGAGTCCCAGCAAGTGCTGAGGTTCCCAACTCCATGAGGTTTATTTGTCTCAGGGCTTGGGTGTTTCATAGAAATGAGAGTTTTTACCCCAAAATGTGGTTTTCACTAAGATGTGATGGAGCAAAGCGATGTGTGCGAGCATGGGAGCAGAATGAGCACCTTTGATTGTGGTTGCCATTGATTCACTCTAATGAAACAGACTGGGGCTCCATCCTGCAAGCCACCATCTCCTCTCGCTGAATCCCATTTGAAGTCCCCAGCTGCCACCCAGGTGCCCAGACATATCTCTCTTCATCCCTCCTTTTAGCTGCAATCAATCCTGCCCTTCCCAATGCAGAACTGCTTCCTATAATGCATTACCTGCTCTGTCTCTCGTAACTGATGGGGCTTTCACCAGCTCTCTTGGGCAGCACTCAGAAAACCAAAGAGGTTTTTAATCTGGCTGCTCTTCCTGATGCTTTGCAGCAAGTCCCTGGCTTGCTTTTACTGCCACTCAGGCGTCCTTCATTGTGCCAGACTAAATAATTCATCTCCTTTTCTATGCTGTTTTATTTGCTCTGTGTGTGTTTCTGCAATTCATTCTTACTCCTCAACTATTCCTTAACATAGCTGCACACGTTTCACTGTCTTAAATACAGGTTTCCCTAGCTTTGGTCATGAGGGACGTTTTACAGCTGGGCTATTGAAGGCTACACTATAAAGTTAACCAGTAGTGCAGTGCCATATGTGTAAAATTAATACTAGGAGCAATGACTGTGTAAATGGCCACATACCATTACATCTGGCAGCAGAAGACCCTGTTGTCACAGCATCCATTAACTCAGATTTCAGGGGATGCTACAACCTTTAATGCCCTGATTGCCGCATGTCCAGGCATCAGAGGCCATAAGCAGCCTGTGGGATGGACTTTGTGACCTCTAACAGGTCATCGTGGTCCACTCCTACCAAATCACACATTGTTGTTGCTCTGCTGCTCTCTGTGTACTCAATTTGATTCATGAGGTGCTCTGAAAGACACTGGGGTCAGGCTGTTAACCCCATCCCGGGTGTTGCCTCTGAAATCATGGAACCATAGAATGGTTTGGGTTGGAAAGGACCTTAAGATCATCCAGTTCCAACCCCATGCCATGGGCAGGGATGCCTCACACTAGACCATGGCGCCCAAAGCTCTGTCCAGCCTGGCCTTGAACTAGTATTAGCTTGATTTTAACACATGAGGCTGTTGAACAGAACAAGGCACAGCACATCTCTCTGGTTCTTCATCAAATCCCTGTCCCAGGGTAGATTATTTGTAACGGGAATGATCTAAGTTATCATTTTTTATCTGAAAACGTAACCAGAAATATCCTGTGAAAACTTGTCTTTATAGATGTGTGTCTAGAGGAAGGATCCATGTCTCTGTGAAAACCATCTAAACATATTTATAAGTTCACCGTTTCCATTACGCTGCAGTTTTGGGGCTAAAAAGGGTAGACTACAGCCATATCCCTTTTTCAGAGTGTTAAGTAGGCAGTAATACATGAGCTATTTCTTAATGTTTTACTTAGGCTGGCAAATTGTGACTGATGCTTTTTTGGGGGTGATTACTTGTACTCTTGTGGGTTTTTTCCAGGCTGGGCAAAACAGACACTCAAACTGCATCTACAGAGAGTTATTTATGAGTTTATTAAAGTGCTTTCCATAGAATCACAGGCTCACAGACTGCTTTGGGTTGGAAGGGACCTCAAAGCTCACCCAGTTCCAACCCCTGCCATGGGCAGGGACCCCTTCCACTAGAGAAGGTTGCTCCAAGCCCCTGTGTCCAACCTGGCCTTGAGCACTGCCAGGGATGGGGCAGCCACAGCTTCTCTGGGCACCCTGTGCCAGTGCCTCAGCACCCTCCCAGGGAAGAGCTTCTGCCTAAGAGCTCATCTCAGTCTCCCCTCAGGCAGGTTAAAGCCATTCCCCTTGGCCTGTCCCTACAGGCCCTTGTCCAAAACCCCTCTCCAGGGGTCTCCCCAAAGCAGAGTAGGGTCATGGGGAGCTTCTCCTCACCCAACACCCCAAGTCCTTCTTCTCAGGCTGCTCCATCCGGTCTCCCCCAGCCTGTGTTTGTGCTGGGATTGTCCTGACCCAGTAGCAGGACCTTGCCCTTCCCCTTGTTGAACTCCATGAGGTTCACACGGTCCCACCTCTCCAGCCTGTCCAGGTTCTTCTGGATCCCATCCTTTCTCTTAAATGTTATGAATGCGTAAGAGGGGAAATAAGTTTAATCAGAACTGTAAGTACATGAAAACAGGCAGATGTTGTCTTTTTGCATGCACTTTTATACCTCCCTGCTGTGTTTAAAATGGGAGCTATCCCAGGTTCAAACCAATTATTTGCTCAACTAAACTCATAGGGTAAACAGGAATGTTCTGTATGGATCTGTTGAGGATGCTCCTGGGAGTAAAACCCAAGTTAAAATGCACAAGCCCTGGTCAGTTGAAATGCTTGGATGCTCAGGCAGCAGCTTCTGTTCTAGAGTTTGACTTCCAAAAAAGTTCACCACTGCTGGTTTCTCTGCTTGCATCACCTGAAAATGACTTTAAATCAACCATAGAGTTTTCCCCTATGATATTAAATACATCTGTTTTAAAAGGAAAAATGTATTTAAATGCAGTTCACTCTGAAAGCACAAAATAAATCCTGTGCTCTTTGGCCAGATTTGCTTCTTCAAGTCCCAAATTAAGGTCTCTGGCTCATCTAATGTGAACGAAGTTTAAGTGGTACTTGGGGAGCAGCTACACAAAAGGCTTTACTGTAATTCTCTGCTGCCAAGAACTGTACCCCAATTCGTACAGCCTAATAGGATCAACTTTCCCCAGCTACTGTCAAGCATATTGGTCAATGCATTAAGGCCAGGTTGATGAGCAATCAGTAGACATATGCGTGCTCCTTTGTGCTCTGGTTTTGGCTCTTCGGAGGTTGCCAGACTATCAGGTTCCTCTTCACGCTATGAAGCTGCAAACCTGCAAGTAATGGGATGAATCAGGCAAAGCAGATGATTAACTTGTCCTATGTTGATCCCGCTTCATGAACGACAGCTGGGGAATAGTTATCCTGCAGCTTTATCCATGGGCCAGATGTTTGCACCGTTAAGTGTCTGATGCTTAATCCAGCGTGGGGGCAGTTGGGAGGTCTGAAAGCAAGGGAAGCTGGTGCCTTGGAAGGCTGGAATCCAGCCTGTATGGGGCTATAGGCTGCAAAAGAGCCTTAAGCAGAATAGGCTGATCAGGGCATGTGTGTGAGCAGCATTCAGAGGTGGGAGAGGAGCAGAGCCCACACAGGGAAGGAGTAAGACCGTGTCTGCCAAGCTCTGTGCTACTGCACCCACAGCAATCCCAGTGCCAGAGCCAAAGCTTGGTTGAATGTCTGATGCTGTTGCTGGCAGCATAGATGTGGTCTTCAGCTTCAAAGAGTTCATGTTACTACCATGTTTTGTTGGCAGCCTCCCTTTTGAGACTGCTGATAAAGAAGGCAGTTGCAAGGTATTTTCTTGTTCTGCCCCCCAGCCTGCTCACTGGTAGGGCAGCGTGAGCAGCTGCAAAGTCCTTAACTTAGTGTAAACACTGCTCGGCAACAACTAAATCATCGTAGAATCATAGGATATGTCAAGTTGGAAGGGATCCTTCAGTGTGTTATCAACGTTATCGTCATCCTAAATCCAAAATACAGCACTCGTAACAGCTACTAGGAAGGAAATTATCCAAGCTGAAACCAGGACAGCTGGATTGAGATGTCTGCCTCTTATCCAGGCTGTATTGCCAGTGAGTCTTTGGATCAGAATGTACTTACAGAATCGTAGAATCACAGAATGGTTTGGGTTGGAAAGGACCTTAAGATCATCCAGTTCCAACCCCCCGCCATGGGCAGGGATGCCTCACACTAAACCATCTTACCCAAGGCTCTGACCAACCTGGCCTTGAACACCACCAGGGATGGAGCATTCACAACTTCCTTGGGCAACCCATTCCAGTGCCTCAGCACCCTTACAGTAAAGAACTTCTTCCTTATATCCAGTCTAAACTTCCCCTGTTTCAGTCTGAACCCGTTCCCCCTTGTCCTATCACTACAGTCCTTAATGAAGAGTCCCTCCCCAGCACCCTTATAGGCCCCCTAAACATGGAGGATGTTGAGTTTGAAGTGAAAATCTTCGGACCATCCAGTGGGCTTTAGGTTGTGACTCTCGACGAGAGAACGTCCCTTCACTCTGCCAAGTGAAGCCTGTCATGTACATACGTAGAGTAACATCTCACCCTGCATCTGGCTAAGAGAGCATGAGGGAAGTACTCCCATGGTGTCAAAGAGCAGGCTTGGGATCCCAAATCTGAAAACACAAGCTATGAAGAAAGAACAGAATCATTTGGGTTGTTTAGTCTAAAGCAGCCTGAGGGGTAGCAGAGATGGGAAGCAATGAACAAGGCCCTTGGGGTCATTGGCAGGCCTGCTCCTACAAGCTGTGTTATTTGGAGGGACATACAGGCAATGCTTTTGTTTGATGCAACTTGGATGAAAGAGTAAAATCCATTTTAAGTTGGTTTTGCGAATGTCAGCTCGTGCTTGTGGCAGTGCTTTAACAGACATATTGCAAGCCCTTAGGGGAAAAAATACACGCAGCCACTTGTACAACAGAATTAGACACGTTGAAGCCTCTGTGTGATCTGTTTTAAACAGCAGTTTGTTCTAAATTGGGTAGAAGTCTTCCAGAATGGGAAGTACACTGAGATGACAGTGCTAAAGGGAGTTTAGCACTGGAACAAATAGCTTTTTGTAGGGTATATTTGGCTGAGGTTAGTCACAGGGATGGTCTTTGCTCATGGCATAGACGGGGTGTTGTGTTGGTCTATGCCTGCATCTTTATTTACCAGTTCTGTTGGATATGTGGGACTAAAGGATACACAGGCAAAACACCCAGTGGATTTAGAGGTCTGCTTCTTTCCATTAATTACTGTGCAGTGAGATGGACACTGTGTGCTAAGGGCTAAAGTGGACTAAAGAACAGAGTGGAATGTTAGTCTTAAACTAGAAATGACGTACAGATTCTCCTTTGACCTATTCATTAGCTGCCCTCAGTCAGGCAAGTTCTTCATAGCAAAATGTTCTTGCTGTCTAGAGGTATATTTGGTTTAGGGTGCCATTAACGCTGTTATTTGGGGTTTAGCAGCCATAAAAGAATTGATATTCCAGAACAAGATGGCATTCTTCCTATCTCTGTTTTGCTGTGGCTCCAGAGCTGATAGTAACGTTGTAGTGTCTATGATTATTCCATGACTAGTTAGGAAAATGCCTGCACTTAAGCTTAATTTTAAGGGAGCTGTCTGGCTCCTTTCTGTTGAATGAGCATAGTTGCTATTAGCAAGAGCCTCTGCAAGCAAACTGTAATGGGTTTCCTGCTGATAAAGTCAATAATAAAGTGGGAATGAGCTGATTGATTTGGATTCAGCAGACAAGGAAAACCAGATTTGCAGGTTCTGAGCGAGCAGGAATGAGGGCTCACCTTTTCAAGGCAACTGAGTTGATCTGCAATGGAAGGGGCTGCTTTGCTCGTTCCTCTTCCCTTGCACCAGCCCTGGTATTCATCTGGTTCCAAGATCACAGAATCACAAAATACAGGGTTGGAAGGGACCTCAGGGATCATCTGGTCCAACCTTTCTAGGTAAAGCATGACCTAGACACGACATCCCAGCACCCTGTGCAGCCCAGTCTTAAGATGTAGCAGAAGCATATTCTGAATAGAAAATGATGGGGTTTTCTCCTTGAACTGGCTCACTGTGGGATCAGATGAGTGCCAGAGCTGGCATAAGGGGAGAGGAAGGTTTAGTGGAGGGTGAAGGGAGGAATGTCCCTTCCAGAGGCAGTGATGCTTCACTGCACCATAAAATCACATCCTCTGCTCATCTCAGCTGACTGCAGAGGAGCTGTGTGGAACCCACATCAGCTGGGACATGGCCCAGATTAATTAGGAGATGTTTCCAAAGGTGAAACACATTGCAAAGAGAAAGCCTGGTAGGTTTCCTGCTCAATGGAACGCTCTAAGCATGTGCTTAGAGCAGCACTGCTTGCTGGCCAACTGCACTCAAGTGTGTGTCAGGGGATTCTGCTACAACAGCTTTGTTGCTTTAGTTGTATCTTCAGATGCCACAGAAGATGTTGGGATGTGTCCAGTTTGTGTCCTGTCTCTTTTCTTGCCCTCTAAGCTCTGTGTTCATGAGGGAGATGGGATCAGGTGAGCCCAGAACACAACTCTTGCTTTGAAGTCAGTTGTTCAGCTGCAGGCATCCATGGGAGAGATTGCACTTTCAGCGTGATTGTAAAGCTTTGGAAGACTCATGATTTCTGGCATTAAGCTGAACTAAACAAAGTCCTGTTTAAGTCTGTTGGGAGAAAAAACATCCTTCTGCTTGTTCTGAAGATACAACCTCCAAAAGTAATCCCCACTTCTAATTCCTGTGATGAATCATTGCCATGTAGTTTACCCTTCTATATTTAGGACTCTATCTCTGCAGTTTAACCTTTCAAAGAGATAAACAACTGAATGTGTGGTGTTGGATTCTTTCTTATGTTGTTTTTTAGAATCAGTCCCCACATCGTGACTTTTCCATCATGTCAGAACCCATCACGCTCAATGTTGGAGGAAAACTCTACACCACCTCTCTGTCCACCCTGACGAGCTTCCCAGACTCCATGCTGGGGGCCATGTTTAGTGGGAAGATCCCAACCAAGAAGGACAGCCGGGGCAACTGCTTTATTGACAGAGATGGCAAAATCTTCCGCTACATCCTGAACTTCTTAAGAACTTCTCACCTGGACCTTCCCGAAGACTTCCAGGAAATGGGTTTGCTCCGAAGGGAAGTAGATTTTTATCAAATCCAGCCTCTGATTGAAGCCTTGCAAGAGAAGGAGGTGGAGCTTTCTAAAGCAGAGAAAAACGCCATGCTCAACATCAGCCTCGATCAGAAGACCCAGACCGTGCACTTCACCGTCCGAGAAGCGCCCCAGATCTACAGCCTGTCTTCCTCCAACATGGAAGTGTTCAGCGCTCATATCTTCTCCACATCATGCCTGTTCCTGAAGCTCCTCGGTTCCAAACTTTACTATTGCTTCAATGGAAACCTCTCGTCGATATCCAGCTACTTGAAGGACCCCAACCATTTGACCTTAGATTGGGTGGCAAGTGTGGAAGGCCTTCCCGAAGAGGAATACACCAGGCAGAACTTAAAGAGACTCTGGGTGGTGCCAGATAACAAGCAAATCAATAGTTTCCAAGTGTTTGTGGAAGAAGTGCTAAAAATAGCCATGAGCGATGGTTTCTGCATAGATTCTTCTCATCCACATACTTCAGACTTCATGAATAATAAGATTATTCGCCTAATTCGGTACAAGTAGGAATGGCTGGTTTATGATGGTGGCGGCATGGAGATAACACAGGTTAAGTGGTTCCCTTTAAAACACACAACCTAATTCAGAATCATGCTTATCTGGATTAAGAGTCACTAACAGGGAGATGATTTCCCTTTAATGTAATTACCAATGCGACCTGTCAGATGATGTCCATGTTCTACACAGAAGGAATATTGTCTAGTGCCTGAATTAAGGACTGGCTTTGCCTCCACCTCTTTGTACCTGTTGTACAATTGTGGGAAAATCAACTTCTGTCTTTCCTACGTTTTCCAGTTGGAAAAGGGGAGTGATCCTTAACCTCTATTGAAGGGGATGTGAGGGTTCAGCAACCAAGGTTTGGCATGTATCTGTACAACAGATGCAGTGAAAGATGCCATGGAGCTGCAGTGCAACAGAGAGCCATGGGAGCACTTTTCCATGTCATGGCCATATCACCCGTGCAGAGCATCCAGGAAGCTTGGTTGGATCCACAGAGAAGAGGCCACACGCTTCTCATGCAGCACTCAATGAAGCACTCATGCAGCACTCGGTAAAGCTGTAAAGGATGGTGCAGACTGCAAGTAAAGGGATCCTGTCTCTTTGGGTTCAACAAAGGATTTCTGTCACCATCTGAAGATGGCTTGGGGTTTGTCTGAACCCTGTGAGGAAGCCCCTGTTTAAATGATGTGCCTGGCATGGGGAATGACCAAGAAAGCCATAGCAGAGAGAATGGCCTTCTTACAAACTGAGAACATTGTGGCTGGTGGGGGAATCTGCACTCCGGATGCTCTTAAACCTTTACTTCCACATTCCAAAGGCATCCAAGCCTGCCAGTCCTTTTCTTTCTCTTACAATGTTAACGTTTGTCTGCAGGATGCTGCTGAAACTCTGTGGTAGAGACAGATATGGGGGCAGAGCCCCACAAATATCTCCTAAGCATTCGAGCCTCTTCTTTGGGCACAGCTCCCATCCCCTGGAGTGCATGGGATGCTCTCTGGGAAAGATGGATTCCATCTGAAAGGACAACGTTCCTATCAAACATTCCTGTCACAAAACCAGAGGCTCTCTTTTCCTATCCTGGTACACTGAGCCATTTCTTTTACATCACTGTGAAATGGTCAGGTCACTGAGCCAGCATTTTACCTGCTTGCTTGGCTCCGGTGTCAGAGAGCTGGAGGTAAGGCAGTGAGAAACCAGAGGTTGACGACAATGGTCAAGTTCTTTCCTCCACACCTAGTCTGTGCTATAACAAAGATCATAATCTCTTAGCTGCATGCTAGTTCTAAACATCATTTGCACCACATTCAAGGTGGTTCGCCCTTAGCTAATGTTTAGAAGTATCTTAGCTGTCTTTCCCTAACCAGATTGCTATGTGTGCATGAGAGACCCTCTGGAACATTTCCCATTATCTCTAATGAGATAGAAGGGAAAATAGAATAACCAAGTTTTGCATTTAGAAGCTTCATTGCTTCCAAAAATTCTTAGCCCAGGGCTGCAAAGCTCAGTGTTGCTCTTGTCCTTGTTTCCCAAAGTAACTCTCCTGTCGTTACATCAAGGTGACCTGCGAACAAGCATAAAGAAGCTTTTTGTTACTGGTGTAAAAAAAAACAGTGAGCTAAAGCTATTTTTACTGTCCCAAGCTGTATCTGCAGGAGGAACACAAAGGATGGTGATGGTAAAAATGTCCATGCTATTGGCAGCCTGTTACAAACCACTGCCCATGTGTGACTTGGTGCTAAACCGGCGTGATGTACGTGGGACCATGTTGTTAGGAAGCACTGCCTGGGCTTAAAGCCCTCAGAACCGTTAAACCTGGCAACTTTGGAGGTTTTTAAACAGGATTTTGGGGCCAAATTCCAGCCTGACTCACTATATTCTTCTAAACTTAGTTGCATTAGGAAGAACTCCATTTTCCCCATCCATCCTGAGCTATAAAGCAGGAGTAATCTGTTCCAGGGGTTGCTGCCTGCTACTGACAAAGTAAAGTGTGAATCGTGTTTCTGACATGAGTCAGTTGGACATTCACAGTGATGATCTATAATAGTAATAGTATTATGATCTGTAAAGTACCATACATGAACCCTTCATTAAATCTAGGCCTTGCAACAGATATGCCTCTGCTGAATTTATCCCACAGAGCTTTTGGGGACTATTAACAGCATTTCTTTTTAACCTATGCCCTTGAGAATAGATCCCCCTGATCTATAACAGGAGTTCTTGTATGTCAGGACTGAAATACTACCTATCTGTAGTAGTTTATTTCCTGTCAGCTTGAGTTTATCCAAAGGTAAGAGCAGTTGGCTTAAATCTCATTGGAAAGGGGGGAAAGTCTGTCCTACCCTCTTTAGAACCCTGAATCAGTAGTGCACCATTCTGCTTCAGCAAAATAAGAGAGTTGAAGCATTGCTGCATTTTCTGGTCAAAGGCAAGTAAGAGGAGTCCATAAAAACACTGTGCATAGTTTAATGTAGAGCATTTACTCCTCACTTTTGCACCCACCCTCTTTTCTTCTCTTTGGATGATAGCAGCACCCACGCTAAAAGCAGTTATACAGCTCCTATAAAGAGAGCTCCAACCTGGCCTAGACAGTAACTGGGGTAATTCTATGACATGGACATAGAGGTTTCAATCCCCACAGGCTAAGAAGGGAACTGAACCCAGGTTTACACCTGGAATGCTTTAACCCATCGTTCTGTTATTGCTAATACACAGAGAGATGTAAAATCTCTCTCTTCTGCATACAGAGAGATGCAAAATTCCCAGCCAGTATAAAGACAGGAGGGAAGAGAGGCTTTGGGAGGAATCCGAAAACTTGAGATACCTCTAAATTGCAAAGCAGAACAAACATCTTTAAGCATGACTATTTATAATGCCACCGTTTTTCTGCTTGATAATTGAGTACATGAAACAAGGAGCAAGTGAATCACTTGCAATTGCAGTCAAACATATGTTACACAAACGCAGTTGCTATTTCAAACTACATGTTAAGCTAAAATTGTAGCTGCTCCCTAATTTTGCAGTCTGTGAGTTACATTATAATGACTGTTTATAGGAATGTTCCCTCTCCAAGGCATTTGTTGGCTTTTCATGTACATAGCTGCCTCTTGTTTACCTTCTTTTCTGGAGCTCTAGAGGTGTAGGTGGTGAGAGCATCCAGTTCGATCATCCAGTTCCAACCCCCTGCCATGGGCAGGAACCCCTTCCACTAGAGCAGCTTGCTCCAAGCCCCTGTGTCCAACCTGGCCTTGAACACTGCCAGGGATGGGGCAGCCACAGCTTCTCTGGGCACCCTGTGCCAGCACCTCAGCACCCTCACAGGGAAGAGCTTCTTCCTTATCTCCAACCTGAACTTTCCCTGTTTCAGTTTGAACCCATTACCCCTTGTCCTGTCACTACAGTCCCTAATGAAGAGTCCCTCCCCAGCATCCTTGTAGCCCCCTTCAGACACTGGAAGCTGCTCTGAGGTCTCCACGCAGCTTCTCTTCTCCAGGCTCAACAGCCCCAACTTTCTCAGCCTGTCTCCATACCAGAGGTGCTGCAGCCCCTGATCATCCTCGTGGCCTCCTCTGGACTTGTTCCAACAGCTCCATGTCTTTCTTATGTTGGGACCACCAGAACTATAGTGCAGTTCTCCACATAGCTTGCTGGTTTTTACCACTGATGATTCTTCTTCTCGCAAGTTTTCCTGAATCAAAGAGAACGTGCACAAAGCTATATCTAGTGCAGCACTACCCCATCACTAGTCATGGAAAGCATTTGTTTGGCATTTATTAGCAGAAACATAGAATCGCAGAATGGTTTGGGTTGGAAAGGACCTCAAGATCATCCAGTTCCAACCTCCTGCCATGGGCAGGGACACCTCACACTAAACCATGGCACCCAAGGCTCTGTCCTTGAACACTGCCAGGGATGGAGCATTCACAACTTCCCTGGGCAACCCATTCCAGTGCCTCACCACCCTCACAGTAAAGAACTTCCTCCTTACATCCAATCTAAACTTCCATTTCACTGTTGAGTGGAATACTGCCTCTCAGAACAAACTGAATGTTTTCCTATAGGGGTCTGAGAATCAGGAAAGGACCTAGTGAGGTTTTTTTCCCTTAAAGTTTGAAGCTGTTCCGTATCTTGGTGCATAACTCGTGTTCTGATCCTGCCATATGTCCTTAACATCTCCCTCGACACCTTTGTGTACAAAATGAGGCCAAGTCCTGCACTATGCATTTAAATAGCCTAGATGCTGAGAGAGCAACTGAATAGAGGGACCAGTAGTGCTAGAGCAGGGAACCACCAGTTAGGGGAGGATATAAGCTGTAGTCGAATGGCATTTTGGGCATGGGCATATGCAGTGGGATTTCTTACATGATAAAAAGATTATTGTGAAGCATCCTAATGGAGTCCAGGAAGAATTCTCTCTGTGGTTTTAGGCTTGATCACTCTTAAATATCCAACGATGTCCAGTTACAGTGAAGGAACTAAAACCATACGTAAATATTAAGACATCTTTGGTTTGTATCACTCTAAAGGGTTGGAGGGAGGAGCGTTCATTGCTGCAGGTGATGGTAGGGAAATAACAGAAATAGGTGTAAAAAGTCACACCTGAAAGAGTTCACATTAAGAAGAAACCCAGGATTTAGAAGAGGAGAATAAATAAGCTTGATGTGTTCAGGAATAAATAAACTTGATGTGTTCAGGAATAAATAAGCTTGCTGTGTTCAGGAATAAATAAGCTTGATGTGTTCAGGAATAAACCCAGCAAGATAACAACAGAGACAACGATTTTGCTACAGAAAGAGGCTGCAATTAGAATGACTCACTGGTCCTTTCCAATTTTAATCTCCTCTTATGCACCTTAAATATTGGTCATGCCAAGAGTTATGCTAATACCTTGTCAGGAGCAGACAGCGTTGCTTCGATTTGCATGTGCTTTAAAACACCAAACATATGTGCTGCTGTAGTTACTATATTGTAACTGAGTTGCTGAGTGTAAATTGCTGTTTGAGTTCGCTGGCAGTAAATACCTGCAATCAGATTTATTCTAGGGCAGGCTGGTGGGGTCCATATATAGCGTTGACAGGAGTGATAAATACTGCCTTCAAACATAGACTGTGGAAAATAAATCATAGAATCACAGAATGGTTTGGGTTGGAAAGGACCTTAAGATCATCCAGTTCCAACCCCCTGCTATGGGCAGGGATGCCTCACACTAAACCATCTCACCCAAGGCTCTGTCCAACCTGGCCTTGAACACTGCCAGGGATGGAGCATTCACAACCTCCCTGGGCAACCCATTCCAGTGCCTCACCACCCTCACAGTAAAGAACTTCTTCCTTATATCCAGTCTAAACTTCCCCTGTTTCAGTTTAAACCCATCACCCCTTGTCCTATCACTACAGTCCCTAATGAAGGTCCCTCCCCAGCATCCTTGTATCCCCTTTCAGACACTGGAAGCTGCTCTGAGGTCTCCACACAGCTTCTCTTCTCCAGGCTCAACAGCCCCAACTTTCTCAGCCTGTCTCCATACAGGAGCTGCTCCAGCCCCTGATCATCCTCATGGCCTCCTCTGGACTTGTTCCAGTAGTTCCATGTCCTTTTTATGTTGAGGACACCAGAACTGATATTTCACAGGCAAACAAAGAAGTTATGAAGAAGGCTTCTCTGAGGAGTTTCATTTTCACCCTATCCCTTTGAATCTGGTGTCACTGCTCAGAATTCCAGTGGTTTTGGAAGCATTTGGCTGCATTCTGTGGTGGCTCCTGCATCCACCCACTGATGGACACAAACATGCCTATTTGAAGAGTGCCAAGAGATGAGGTTTATTTCCATAGAGAGCTTGTAGAGCTCTCACATTTAAAATCCAGTTGCGTTTCTCTGCCTGGAACTCATTTGTGAACTGATTACTGATGTGTATTTGAGAAGACAGTCCATAAAACGTGAATGAAGCAGGGGATGCTTTGTCTGATGTACATTTCTTGAGGGGACAAAAAGCATGCAGTGATACCTGCTGATCTGTAGGTTTTCCCCTCTCTAAGGATTTCACATCCTGCAGTGCTTACCTGGACATCTCCATGGCTTAGAAGCGCAGGAAGCTCCCCAGAAATCAGTGCGATTGTAGACTTGGATGAACCGGTCTTCCTCAATAATCAACCCCATTTAAAATGCATTAGCTCATTTATGTTTCAAACACTTACAGAGGATTCATTCCTCCAGTGAAAACCCTTTTAAAACCCTAATGCTTTACCACTGTTTAGCTTGTCTCTAGTCCCCAGGATGGAGCAAACCGCAATGTGGTGTTGTGCAGGAGAAAATCAGTTTAATACATTATCTAGATGACTTCATGCAGCCCCTACAAGGTGCAGTCCCAAGGCAGATGAAGGTTTGCTGTAAGGAAGCAAAAAGGCATCAGCTTTGCACACATCCACCCTCCAGGCTGGTGGTTTCTTCCAGGTATTAAAAACTGAGCTCGTTCCTCTGGAAGAGCACTTGATACCTGGAAGCTGACTCGGTCCCCAGTAGCACTGGTTGGAGATGGTACTTCCATGGAGCACAGCTAAGCTGAATCTGAAGTGGCTTCTGCCTGATGCCAGCACCTCAGCAGCCTCACAGGGAAGAGCTTCTTCCTTATATCCAACCTGAACTTCCCCTGTTTCAGTTTGAACCCATCACCCCTTATCCTATCACTGCAGTCCCTGATGAAGAGTCCCTCTCTGGCATCCAGGTGAATCAGCAGGGTTAAGCCTGTGCTGATGGCGAGGGGCATGGTGGGCTTCCCAGCACCCTGCCCAACATTGCAGAGGGCATGCAAAGGAGCATCCAGAGGGAGATCCTAAAACATTACACAGATCCAGGGTGAAGCAGAGCCCTCCATCTCTTTAACCACATCCCAAGGACAAGGGAGTCTGCTGTAGGAAGCAGGAGCTGAAGTCGAGCCCTGTAGTAACAGCAGGAGTGAATATAGAGGAGCATGAAGAGATGGGGTTAGGGCATGCACTCAGGTGATGCCAACCCTATGTGAGACCAGCCAGTGATGAACATGGAACTGGCACCACACCTCACTGAGATGCTGGCCACCAGGAGCAGCCCAAGCCCAGGCTTGCTGCAAGCCTCACACGGTGCAACCCAGTCCCACAGCATCCAGACCCCACACAATACAACTCCGTAGCTGGTCCCACAGCCACCCGACCCCACATAGCACAGGCCTACCACCACCCAACCTCATATCATGCAAGCTCAACAGCACCCAACTCTATAGCTGGTCCCACAATACCTAACCCCATACACATAGGCCCTACATCACCCAACCCCTCACCACTCAACACCACATCACCCAGGCCCCACACCACCCAACTCCATAGCTGGTTCTGATACTGAATTCAATTAGTATTTCACTGTATAACTGATACCAAATTAAATCAGTGTTTCACTGAATGTAGAGATTTAGCCATAGGCAGGGCTACAGGGACTCTCAACCTCATATTTCACTGTGTACAGAGGCTTATAGGGATTCTCAAGATAAGGAAGGCTGCAACAAGGACCAGATGTCTGCTCTCCAGCCTGTTGATAAGGCTTGAGAAAATAGGTAAAGGGCTGCAAAACAAAACAACTTTGGAGCCTGTCAGGGTTGTAAATGAGACCAAACAAGAACATGGAGTTAATGGAAAGACTAAACACATCCCAGTGTCCTTAACTAACAGATGCCCATAGAAGGGTAAACTGAGTTGGGGTATTTCTCCCCAGAAGAGAGGTTCTCTCCTCACTGAGAGGTTGTGGTGGTTTCTCCACCACAGGCGCCAGAGACCAACCCTCAGAATTCACAGTGCCTGTATGGCAGCCTCATCCACCCAAATGACCGTATGGATGAGTAACGGGAATTGGGTGGGCGCTTCATGGAATTGCAGTGAAGATGTGCATAAGGAAGAGAGATGAGCTGTGCCCCATGCACCCAGTGCCATAATGAAGTCACGTCAGTTTCTAACCTGTCATTCTGGTTGGAGAGGTTAAGTCACGGGGTTTGGTGACGGTTCCATACTGGGTCCCACACCACCCAACCCCACATCACCCAGGTGCCACACCATCCAACTCTGTATCTAGTACCACACCACCCAACCCCACATCACCCAGGTGCCACACCATCCAACTCTATATCTGGTACCGCACCACCCAACCCCACTGCTGGCCCCACACCACCCAACCCCACATCACCCAGGTCCCACACCACCCAACTCCATACCTGGTTCCACAACAACCCCACTTCTGGCTCCAAACCAGCCAGCCCCATACTTGGTCCCACAACACCCAACCCCACTGCTGGCCGCACACAATGTGGGGTTGGATGACCCCACATTACCCAGGTCCCATACCACCCAGCTCCATACCAGCTCCCATCCCATCCCATACCAGATCCCGTCCCATCCCATCTCATCCCATCCCATCCTATCCCATCTTGTCCCGTTCCATCCCCATTACATCTCGTCCCATCCCATCCCGTCCTATCCCATCCTATCCCATCTTGTTCCGTTCCATCCCCATCACATCCATCCCATCACATCCCATCTCATCCCATACCATCCTATCCCATCTCATCCCATCCCATCCTGTCCCATTCCATCCCATCTCATCCCCATTTCATCTCATCCTATCCCATCTCATCCCATCCTGTCCCATACTATCCCATCTCATCTCATCCCCTCCTATGTCATCCCATCTCATCTCATCCCATCCCATCCTGTCCCAACCTATCCCATCTCAACCCATCCCATCCCCATCCCATCTTGTCCCATCCCATCCCATCTCATCCCATCACATCTCATTCCATTCCATCCCATCCCATCTTGTCCCATCCCATCACATCTCATTCCATTCCATCCCATCCCATCCCATCCCATCTTGTCCCATCCCATCCCATCACATCTCATTCCATTCCATCCCATCCCATCTTGTCCCATCTCATCCCATTCCATTCCATCCCATCATATCACATCTCATTCCATTCCATTCCATTCCATCCCATCCCATCATATCTCATTCCATTTCGTCCCATCTCATCCCATTCCATCACATCTCATTCCATTCCATCCCATCTCATCCCATCCCATTCTGTCCCATCCCATCCCACCACATCCCATCCCATCCCCATCACATCTCATCTCATCTCATTCCATTCCATCCCATCCCGTCCCATCTCATCCCATCCTATCTCATTCCATCCCATCCCATCCCATCCCATCTCATTCCATACCACCACATCCCATCCCATCCCATCTCATTCCATCCCACCCCACCC